AAAAAAAAAAAAAAAAAAAGGCATGTGGACAGAAGTATGGAGTTTGGTATTTACTTTGGATCGTTAACCTGATCTGTAAATTTGATTTGATCTTTCTCTCTTTTTTTTTTTTTTTTCCTCCCCCACTCTTTCTTTAATTTCAGAGCCTGCAAAGAGACGCTGTCTTTTGCTGCTTCAGGATCCCAGCAACAAGTGGGAGTCTGATGGATTGTAAACGCACCTGCTTTGTTTAAAATTCAGCCAAACAGATAAGTGTCCTTTTAATTATCTCACAATAGCATTTTAGACGTAGCTGTGCACAACTTCTCTGTTCAGTTTGGTTTTAATTCAGTGAGACCTAACGCTCTGCAGTTCTCCTTTTGGCTGAGAAATAACCAGACGTTATCTGTATTTCACATGAGCTGATTAATCCGCATCTGAGGGAAGTGCAGTTGAGAGTTCAGGGAGCTCCTGGGGGTCTTTCCCTGCCTCTCCAGAGCCATCGTCTCCAGCAGCCCTGTGAGGTTTTGGGACTCTGAGGAGCAGCTCTGCGGGACCAGACAAGACTGATGTGACCCATCTGAGCCTTAAGGAGTCCTCCGGGACTCATTAGGGGTTTAATAAATAAACTTGGCTGGTTTGATTGAGAAGATGCTTGTGCAGACTTGGCGCAATCTCAGAGAAACCAGCTAAAGCTGCTGGCAGGAGAGAGAGGGCTTTCTGCATGTGCTATTCATATGTGTGCTGAGAAAGTGATAACCCCAGCTTCTTCCTGCCGGTTTCCAGGTGGGAAAACAGCTGGGGGTGGGGGAGAAAAGCCCTTAATTATACTGAGTTTATACAGGGCATACAAAGAGGTATCGTGGGTGAGTGAATTGTCCCCCCAAAGTTATGGGGACATTTATATCTATGGATGGAATATACAAACTATCGAGAAAATAATTTCTGGCTGCTTATCCATTTCTGTAGGTGACCACTGCCTGCTCTTGAACACATCACTGCAATTATTAAATAATTTAAGAAATCCATAAAATATGATCTCATGTACAATGCTACTTTGCAATAGTATACAGCCATGGGGCTGGGGCAAATGTTCACTATAGCTGCAATTTACTGTACTAGAATAATGAAAAAACCCCACAAAAGCCAAGCATGTGAACGTTGGAGGGGATGTGTGACTAAAGGAGGGGCAGGACCAAGTTATCTACTGCAAACCTGTCTTGTCTACTCTATTTGGGTTAATTAGCAGAGTAAAATGACTACTTTGCTGCTAGGAAAGCTCCAAACAGGTTCGCTACAGCAAATTAGACTGCAGTAACTGATGTGAATTGGTCTTACTTTCCTAAGCAGAAGGCGAATTTCTCAGTGAAGGTGTCAGCCTAGGACTGAGAGAGAGGCTGGAGAGACAAGACAGTGAAATAGGAGGTTACTGCGACATGAGAGAACTGGATCGAGACCAACTTGTGTGATCCCTGGAGTGTCTGAAGTTCCCTCTTTTCTAGGAAAAACTTCACTCCTGCTTTTATTACTGAGAAAGTTTTTATATTAATAGAAGGAATTACATGTCTGATATTAATGACTATGCTCTGTCTTACAGTTGTAAACAGTACTTATTCCTGACTCTTCGGTACTCTGGTAACGAAAAGGCTTGACAGTATATTAGGAAACAATGATAAAACAAAGCCCCAGTGAGAAAATCAGGGTTTATTCATTCAGCAAGGGTAGATAGAAAGTTAAAAAGGCTTACATCATCTGTGTATCCAAACTAACAGAGCTTTTCGCTCCTCAAAAAAAAAAGAATAATTTTTTTTTTTAACCTCCAAGATCCTTGAGGTCTTGATTGCAACTTTCTGCCAGGATACTGATATCAATATTCCCCCAAATTAGGTCCCATTAAATTAACCCTAACCTGGCCAGTTCTAGTCTGGTCATCAAAGTTGAATTTGGAAATCATATCTTGAAGTATGTCATGCAACTTTTAACACCTTGTGCCCCTTGACAGAAGAGGCAGAAAAAACCTTACAGTCGTTCTCAAGAGCTGCACTGATGAGAGAGATGATACTGAGTGTTACATGTACCTGTGGCTTGGTTGGTGCATCCATCAGCTGAGGAGAACAAATTCAACAGACCTTGACATCTTTCTGTGAAAAATCTTGCCCAGAAGACCGCTGAATCCCTAACTCTTTTCTCATCTTACAGGTGAGCCTTGAGGACCCTTGGGAGACTGTAACTACTAAATGTATGACCTTTCTCTGGCATTAGAAGCAAGCCATGGGAAAAGACAAGAAAGAAGAAGAGGTCGTCTTCCTGAGGAAAAAGATAACTTTGCTGAGGGCTTTCTCACTCCTCATTGGCAGCATGGTTGGCAGTGGCATCTTTATCTCCCCAAAAGGAGTACTGAAAAACTCTGGCAGTGTGGGTTTCTCCCTGGTTGTTTGGTTTGCCTGTGGGCTCCTCTCAATGTTTGGTGAGTGGTGAGCTTTGTCAGCCTTTGTTGAAGTGCCTGGGAGGTGGGGGGAGCCAGCACATTTTTATGTATAAAAAGTTGGGAGAAGAATAAACCAAAAATTCCCTGTGGTGACCCTAAGGGGGTCACCAGCGATCTTTAGTTAAAATTGTTCCCCCAGGGTGATTGAGAAAATTCTGGCACGTATGGTCTGTGGATATAAAATCATGTGCAAGTCCAAGGCAGGAGTGACAATGACTGCAGATGGAGACAGCATTGTCTCTGCCAGGAAAGCTGGGAGAAGATGAGGGGACTCGTTCCATAGAGTGGAAGGGAGATGTAGGCATCTAAAAGGCACCTGTCAGTCCGAGGGCTGTGCACCGCTTCTCATAAACACTGTGAAAAGGGCAAGAAGTGACAGTCTTAATATGCCATAAGGGATCCCCTTTCTGCCAGTGAGGACAGAGGAGCACTGGAGCAGCTGGGGAGCCCCAGAGTGTCCAGCAGCCAGGGGTTGGTGTCTGGGTGTCTGTCAGAAATGGTTTGGATATGTCTGATATTGTCTTGGAGCAAGAGATGGAGCAGATCAGTTCAGCCCTGCTTTTTGTGTGCTACCCTTGGCTTCTGACATTTAAACCATTCTTTTCTCACAAAGGGTTGACTTTTTGATGACAGTTTCTTTCTATTTCTTCTGAAATAATGTAGCTCTTAAAGTTATGATGGACAAAATACATGGCTTTTAGTTTCCTTCATTAACTCTGTAAAATCACCATCTCAGAAATGCTCCAAAGGTGCTATTAGGAGAACTGCAAGATCTCTCTGCTCTGAAGAGAAATCTGGTGTTTATTTCAGTGGTAAACTTTAAAGTTGTTCTGTCATAACTTAGGGGAAAAAAAAAAAAAAACCCACACCAAAAAAACCACACCAAAAACCAAACAAAAACAAGAAAGGAGAAATAATCCATGTAGAAAAAAACCACTTTGGCACTGTGACATATAGATGCAAGTTTAGAAATCGATACATTCAATGATAATACAGTAACCAGTGTGGTTCTTGCTCTTAGTACATGTGTACCAATATTTCACGTTGCAGCCTATGTGGAGTTTTTGGTGAATTATATACTTTTGCTTAAAGAAAATCTGAAAATATAATGTGAGCATGGTGTTTCTTTTGACTGAGCAGAGCAATAAATGACAATGTGTGTGCTGATCACATAACCCAAGCTCTGCACTTGGAAAGTTTCTTTCTCTCTTGCATCCTTTGACAGACTCTGCTGGAAGGGCCCTGGGAGCCTCTTTATCAAGTTATTGTATTTTGTAGCCAAATTTGTTAGTTTGTTCTTCCCATCAGCTTGATGACCTCCCCTGATCATTTCTCTGACGCTTTTTTCGCAGTACATTAAAAAAGCCTGCTTTCTTTTCTTCTTTTTTTCTTTCAAGTATGGCATTTGTATGAGTCCCATAGCATGCGTTCAGCAAAGCACTTAAACGCACACTTGAAGAGACCCACTGGAGTAAATGAGATGAGGTGTCTGCCTATATTTTACACTTGGAACAGGGATTCTGCAAAAATTTGCCAAGAGAGAGGTGGGAAAAATGGAGGTCCTCACCATCAGCATCACTTGAATATGGCATGATCACCAGAGGACTCGGAGGCATGGCCATATCACCACTGGGTTCCTCTGCATTCTCCCTCCACAACCTCCTGAGCTGAGCTAAGCAGTAATAGCACAGCTAGAGATGGTCTCACCCCACAGGGTCACATCCCAGCAGCGCTCAGACCCATTGCAAGGAGAGTTGTGCTCAAAGAAATGAAGTGGTTTATGATTTCCTTTGGTGAAAAAAGGATGTTTAACCTAACAAGTGAATCCAGTGTAGGCAGGACTTAAGAGTCATACTTAGGCATGTTCAAATGGCACGATGAATTGCTCTATAGAGAAAACACAGATGGGATTTTTCTGGCACAGATAGAGGCATAAAGGTTTCTATCCATTTGCCTGAAAGCTTTAAGCTGTCTTCTCCAGCGTGCCTCCCCCAGGGCTTCTCATTGTGCCTCGGCACAGGGTCAGGGGGGTGCAGAGGCGCTCCTCAAGGCCAGAGCAGGCAGTCCCCAGGTCTGCTGGTGCACTCGTACATGAACATGTGAGAAGAGACCAACTGAGCCTCTCATGTGGACACTTCCCTTGCTCTGCACCATCGGGGCCATGTTTTCCTCCAGTGGCAGGTCTTCCCTCTCCAAGGAGATGCCCTTCCAGGTCCTCTGTCTGGTGTCTTTGAATGAAGGAAGGGATTTATGTGACAATGCAAGATAAGGACACAGGAATATGACCTGTGATCAAAAATGTGATTGAAATGACAAGTTCATCCATGGCCTGTTGGCTGAGCTGCTGTAATTGCCTTGTAAGCACCATCTCACCAGTCTAACTGTGAGAAGTGAGAACCCAAACCTCCAGGATGTTTCACAAAGGAAACCTATTGTAGTTTAGTGCAACATTTCTATTGCACGCCTTTCCACATAACTTTTGTGGAAAGGTTGCATCATTATCCAGAAGATGGAGACTTTCTTTCCTTCTGACAGAAAAGTCAGTTACTTCAAAATATACTTCAAAACACTGTAGCACACAAAATAAGGAAGAGTGATTCTGCTAAACCCCTCTTTCTTCCTTTAATTCACTACTTACTTTAAACAGATTCATTCAATTCCTGAAAAGGCACACAGAAAAGAGAAAATCCATGAGATGATTTATTCAGTGCATTTCTACCTGAATTTTTCCAGGTGCCTTGTGTTATGCAGAGCTTGGAACAAGAATCACCAAGTCTGGAGGACATTATATCTACATTTTGGAGACACTAGGACCTCTGCCAAGTTTCTTATTCCTGTGGGCAGAGTTTTTTGCTATCAGGTAAGAGAATTTTTGGGTTTACCTTTTGCTGAATATGGTGACGATTTAAAAAACCAGAAGTTACTGTGCCAGGTAACAGTCTAGGCAGTTTGTAAAAGAAAGAGTAGAAACAATCTGAACAACTTTTAAAGATTTTTTCAGTGGTAAAAGGAAGAAGGCATAATGAATAAATAGTTACACATGTTCACTCTGATCTGTACTTGAATATCTCTCTTCTCCCCTGGCAGCTGGTATCTTCCAAGAGCCACAGTATTTTTCAGAGACTGACAATAGAGGCCAGATTTATTTCAGATCTTCTCTTTTCACTGTGCAACTTTTTCAGGTTGTCCTGTGGAGACAACTTTCTGGCTTAGCCCTGAGTTAAATAATATTTTAGAAAATCGTAAATGACTTATTTTTTAACTTTAAAAAGAAAGTCCTCACCTCCCAATAACCTGTGTCCTTCATGTAAACTGAGATGGAGCAGGATATGTGAGCCACATTGCATTGCTCAGTATGATTATTCTCAACTTTTGCTTTCAAGTTGGGAATTAATCTTTTTGCAGCATGCAATTTTTAACCCATTTACTGAGAAAAAACTGTGAAAAAGACTCTACAGGAATTCACCATCTGCATTAGAGAGCAGGATTAAGCTGGGTGGGGAAAACTCTCTCCCTCCTGAGTTTTGTGCAGTTTTACATCGTGATATTTTTCTGCTGTCTGCTGACCACAGTTTGTGCTTGCTTCCCCCCTCAAGGCCTGCCAACAGTGCTGTGGTTTCTTTGGCGTTTGGACGCTACATGCTGGAGCCATTCTTTGCCCCCTGTGCAGCCCCTCTCCCTGCTGTGAAGCTCGTGTCTCTCCTGGGGTATTGTAAGTACTAACTTTTATGGGACTGCTGATCTCAGAGGCTCTCTGTCCCAGACCAGGGACACTTACAGGGTGTTATCTTCTGGGATAACTGTGGGATTGGGGCCCCATCTTATGTCTTGGCCACTCAAAACTTTTGCTGATTTGGGGCCACTGTTATTCTCCAAGAAGGGGAATGGGCCTCCCTGTTGACCAGCTGGAACTCTAGGGCAGGAGGATTGCGCCAAGTACAGGAGTAGAAACTCTTCATGTATAATTGTGCAAATGCCACCTGTGTTGAGGTGTAAGGCTCAAGGTTTTGGGCTCCTCGCCTGGTGCACCTAGCCTGTGAAGCTGTCCTGGCCTGCTCCAGGGTGGTGTGTGCTGGCACAGGGACTGCTGTGAAGGGGGCTGCTGAGACATCCCTGCAAACTCACACCTTCCTCCCAGGCAGGTGTGGATCACCCAAGAGCAACCAGGCTCCTGGTCCCTCTTAGGAGCATAACTCAGCTCCCCCTTCAAACACTGTGTGCTGGACCACACCTGTAATGTTTTCTGACATCTCTCACCCCCAGCATCCTCTCTGTAAAGATGCAGCCTTCTTCCTGGCATCCCTAGAGCAGGGAGAGCTGCTGTGTTTTTTCCTGCGTGCATCAAGCATGGGCTACAGCTGTAGCAGTGTGGTCTCCTCTGCAGACATGGTCCTCACCCTCAATTCCTGGAGCGTCACCTGGAGTGCCCGCCTGCAGACAGCTCTCTCCATCGTCAAACTCCTGGCTCTTGCACTCATCATCGTGCCAGGAATGATGCTGCTGGCACAGGGTAGGTGTGCTGCTGTGTGGCTGAGGAATGGTGCTCAACATACCCGTCTGTCACAGCTTTTATTGGTGTGGCACTCCTTTAGCTGGCAGGAGCTTTCCCTGCCTGTGTGCTGGGTGTGAATTAACTGGGAGCTGAGACCAGGGTAGTGGCATTAAGCTGAATCATTGCATTGGGCTGATGCACTTGGCTCAGCTGTGCTTTCTCCAAAGCTGAGTGAGTCTCAGTGCCTGAGGCTGTCTGAGCCTACCCAGAGTCATACAGGCACCTTCCTCCACAGCCAGTCTTTCCTTGGTGCCAGGCTTGCCTTCTTTCAGAGTGACTCAAAATCCTTCCAAAGCAACACAAATTTGATGGACATCAGGGATGTGTGACAGCATCCTGTGGTGATGTGAGCCAGTCACAGCTGTATAACGAGTTACCAGCCCTGGCAACTGCACCTCTAACCTTTCTGTGGCTTAAACTAATGCTTTTTTACCTCCTAATTGAGACAGGCAGTAACTTACTAATTTCACAATGGACTCACTCAGGCTTGCACATACATATATTCATCCAGAGTGGGAAAAAAAACCCTTACCAGTAGTACCTTCTGGCAATGATGCAAGAGCATTGGCTTTAATCCAGGCCTCAGTTTATGGAAAAGCCCACAGCATTCCCACTCAGGGGATGAAGCCTGCTTCCTCTTCACACTATTACCTTCCTCTGCAGAGAAAACAACACAAGCAGTAGGTCCAGGTTCATATTTCTTTCTGGTGCCTGGAGCTAGCTCCTTTGAACGTACAAAGATCCACATGGGCTGGCAGCACTTCTGAACAGAAGAACTGCCCTGCAGCAAGAAATCCTCAACCGTTATTGTCAGGAATGCCTTCAAATGACAATCTGGAGCCCTGGCACCCATCCTCCAGCGAGGATAAGTGTCAGTGACATCTGGAGGGAGAATTCACCAAGAGACCCCAAGATGACAGGTTGTATTTAACGTTACTCATGGGGGATTGTAATCACTCATTAACGTATTGCAGACAATAAATCCTTTTTATTTGCCATCACTTGTCTGCAATCATTTTAGAATATAAAAAGACTACCCCCATAGGCCCACTCCCATATTTTGGTTTAGTTTTCTTCAAATCTATTATCTTTTTGACTAGTTTCCTTGTGCTTAAAAATCAGTTTTGTGCTTTAAAATCAGTATGCCTGATGCCCCTGCCTTGTTCTACTTTTTTTTTTTGTTTGTTTGTTTGTTTTTTGTTACACTCTTGTCCTTTCCTCTGCCATTACATTCCCTTTGGCTCAGGTTTGGTTTAGAGACTTGCTGGGCCAGTGTTTTAAACCCAAATGCCCAAATCTCCTTGCAGAGGCACCTCCATAGAAGTGGCATGACTTTCTCCATGTGCCTCATGCCATTTCATCCCTTTCCTGGTGAAGCCCAACTAGGTGAGCTCTGCACCATTTACTTTTAAAGAGACTTTGATATGGAGAACTGAATATAGATGTGGAACCAAGCCTTGGGCACCTGGTTTTGAAAGTGTTGGAAATACAACTCCTTTTGACTGCATTTTTTATTGGTCTTCCTTTGAATGGGAGGCCATTAAGTGTTGCTCCCTTCCCTAGGTTTTTTTTGGAGTTTGATAAAATATGGCTTGTATCCAAAATCCTGACTTTGATTTTGTTGTTATTTCAAGCAGAGAACTTTTAAGAAAATTGTGGGAGTTGGTAAAATGGGATCTCTATCTGAGCCACCTCTACTGTTTAGATTTTATTTACTTTGCCCTCTGTGTCCTCAGTTCCTCCTTGTGAGGGCAAGTCGCAGTGGCTGTCCAGGGCAGCGGGCAAGGAGCGTGCCCAGAGTGGAGGCCAGGCTGGCGGTCACTGCTCCCTGTTTCTGCTCCCTCCTCCACCCTGGTTCCCATGATCTGGCCGCATGGGGCTGGGGTCAGCGCTCCAGCAATGGGATCAGGAGGGAGCACAGTGAGAGGCAAATTAGCTGCCTCACTGGCTGCACCACATCAGAGAGAACTGTGCATCCAGCTGTTTAGGGGGCTGGAGGGGGGAAGAGGGGGGTCAACCCAGTGAATTAGTTTTGGGCCTAAAGAAAGAGCAGGAAAACTTGGGTCCTCTCATCTCCACGATCTCTTATTCCCACAGCAGGCTCGGTCTGAAACAGAACCAGCTGCTGCTGTTGCCCTTCCTGAAATGTATCCTGTAGCTGGACAGGGAAAGGATTTGTTCTGTCACTGTTTGCAAAATAAACGTGTTAGCACAGCACTGCACATTAAAGCAATGAAACAAATCTGAATATCTGTCTCCAAGGAAGTCACAAACACTCTTCCCAGGTCTGGGCAAGAGGTACAAGGGACATTGTCCCACGGGAAGGAAGCTCATCTCTGATGTTTCCCTGCTCCATGTCCATTGTTTATCTCTTCTGCAGGCCACACCAAAAACTTCCAGGATGCTTTTGACAGACAGTCACTGGTTTTGGATAAGTTGCCCCTGGCTTTTTACGCAGGCATGTTTGCATATTCAGGCTGGTAGGTGTGATGGAAGGGTGCTTCATGGGCAGCAGACTGGTGTTCAAGACATGGCTCAAACTCTCCTGTTTCTTTCCACCATGCAGGTTTCAGACCAGTTTTGTGCGTGAAGAGTTAGTCAGACCTGAACGGTAAGGCTGGGAAGAAGTCATCTTGGGTTACTGGCTTCTGGTTTACCATTGCTTTCCCAAATGCAGTATGGGAGGAAATAAGTTTGTGGGTTCACGTAACCAATGTCAATTGCAATCTGCAATAATACTGTGCATAACAAGGGATAACATCTTGTTCTTTGTTTGTGTCTCTTCCTCTTTCTTGCAGAAATATCCCGCTGGCTGTCATCGTGTCCGTGATCACAGTAATTGTGGGGTACATGCTCACCAACATCTCCTATTACACAGTCCTGGGAATGCAAGATGTTCTGGCTTCTCCTGCCGTGGCTGTGGTGAGTTGTCACCCCTACAGTTATCTTTATTCAGTGTGGTCAGCTTATGCTCAAGGGGTAGTCATGGCAAGTGTTTTGGAGATGGTTTTCCTATAAAATGCTTTATTGCTTTGTAATTTCTCTGGATTTTTAGGCAACAGTAACTTCTTCTAGTCTTGCCTACATGATAATTAAAAATAACCCACTGATGACAGTAGAAAAGGCAAGATTTATGAGTTATATTCTGTTCCTTCGATGGAAGTTTTCTTTCTTTTGAATCTGATGTTGTCTAGAGATGACCACATGTTCCTAAAGACACACTCGCTCTTCCTCCAGAGCTTTGTGCAGCGAGCCTTCAAAAGCCTGATCTCTGTGGTCCCTGTCCTTGTCGCACTGTCCTGCTTTGGAACCATGAATGGAGGAATCTTCACGTTTTCAAGGTAACATCCCTAAGAATTTATTAGTCTTTTGGCTTACTGAATTGGAGGGAAGCACCAGTGATCTGTGCAACTGCCCACTCACGGAATGGCATCTGAGCCACTCTTGTGGGAAAAATATGGGCTTTGACTTCCAGGATGCCAACTACGGGATGATCTCTGTTGGCTAAGAGTTTACCCTTTCTATTTCTAGCCAGGTCCAGGCTTTGGTATCTTGGGCTGGTCACAAACAAGGATTTTCATCTTATGCCCCCACCCTTCAGTTTAAATCCCCAGTTTAAAGTGAAATGTCAATGTTTCTGGTGAGCTAGAGGCTTTGTTGATGTTGGCAGCTGCTCATTGAGACCAAGTCTTCTGTCACTGGGTTCACCCAGCTGCTCTGCTGCAAGGCCACAGGGTCCCTCTGTTGTGCGGATCTCTGGCCAAAGGCAGACTCACCCTGGAGGACTTTGCTTTGAGGTCAGTGAAATGTTATTGGGGACGGGCTATTCCTAAAGCAAAACTCAAGGCTCAACAAATCTTCTTGTACCAATAAGAAAAGCTTTGTTCCATGGAAAAATTATTCCAGTGTTATAACCGTCTTCACTGGCTACTATACTGCATGTCTTCATGGGAGTCTTGAAACTGGAGAAGAGGGCAGAGCTCATGGAGAAGCATTTCATGATGGTCCTGAGGAGCTGACTGAACTCTCTGGAGCCAATTCTGTTTCACAACTTTGATTGAAAAAGGAAAAATCAGTTAATATGACAGGGAAGTTTCTCAGTGTGAAATCTGAGATCTACTACTCCAAAGTCCTGTACTAAATACAGTATGGAGAATCCTTCCTGTTATCTCCTCTAGATAGTGGTTTTCTTTGAGGATGAGGAGTCCCCAGACAGCATCGAGGTTGTATGTGTCCTCATCGCCTTTCTCTCCCCCATCCTGGCACCATTAATATAATCATGGCAGATAGGCCATATAAACAGTGATGGGGCCTCCCTGGCTGCTGGCCAGCCACACCCCTGCAAAACCACAGAGACAGCAATAAACTCAGTTTTACACTCATGCCTCAGCTGCTTTGGGCCCTGCTCCAGCCCAGCTGATGCTCTGGCATGATTTGTTTGTGAATATTAAATTTACAAAATTGGATTCAATGTCTTCTCCCTAATTGCCCTTTCATGAGTCGAAGGATGGAGGGAAGGAGTTCTCTGCTGTCATTTTGTAGCCGGGCTTGTGTGTAGCTGACTTCTTGGCAGTATGCCAAACTATGTTTTCCAACAACTGGCGAAAGAACTCAAAATCCTCTATTATTTGTGGAAACTACACTTTAATTTTATTTTTTTTATATATATATATAGGCATTGAAACCAACAATTACCTTTCATAAACTCACCAGCCTCTCTTATAAAGAATTGAAGCTTGTGAACCCTCTGCTTCCTACTGGAAAGATGAACCCCTTCTCTGATGGCAAGAAACTTTCTTGCTTCTGTTTCCAACCTCAACTCATTCATGGTCACTTGGGACTTGCCCAAAGGTCTCTGATAATGGGCCACCCAAGGGGATGCTGCCAGTGGTCCTGCTAGTGGGTTCTGCACTGCATTGAACTAACGGGTCCTGGGAGAGTTGTGGGAATTCAACATTAGGTTTTTCTCCCAAATGCCCCAAAAATGTGGCTACAGACAGAACTGTGGCCTTGCATAGCAGACCTTGCTGGGGTGGGGGGGTGGCCTCAGGTCAGTCCAGTGACTGATACTCTCACTTCTAGTCTGGATATGGGATGCTAATGCATAGGGCTCCCTGTCTTTTCCTAGGACTCTGTTTGTGGCTTCCAGGGAAGGACAGTGGCCTCCTCTCTTCTCCATGATCCACATTCGAAGGCATACACCCCTTCCTGCTGTCATGTTAATGGTAAGGAGATCTGGCTGTGTGACATGCCCCATTCTTGCAGCCTTGGCCTTCTTGCAAAGCCTGGAGAAGCTGAAGAGTTTTAAAGGGTGTTGAGACAGCCTCCAAAAAATAGAGAAGATGGAATACTGGAAATGACTGCAAAGTATTAAGTCCTCTTGTGCCCAAAGTGTTATCCCAACCCACTCCCTTGAAGTCCCTGCGTTACAGCCTTGGACACCTTTTAAAAAAGTACTGTCCTTACCATCTCCCACAGTTGCTGCTTGGTCTTTTTCTGTGAAAATACCTCTGCTGGGCTTTGGCTTTTTGGAAAATTTAAATTCCCAAGTGTGCTGGAAATGCAGGGAATGAGCATTTGCAAAGGTGCTCTCGGTTTTGGTTTCGTGTTTTTTTTTTTTTTTCAGAAATGGTTCAGCTCCATCCCAACTGTTCTGAGGTGCCTCTTGCAGCTTGGCTGACCTGCTAAAAACTTAGCAGGTATCTTTGTAGGTAGCCTTTGTACCAGCAGCACAGGCTTTTGTATCATGCATGTTTTAATTCCCCTGCCTAGGACATAAAGCATCAAAGGTGCTGTTGATCTTGAAAGAATTGCTCCTTTCTATAGCACAGCATAATAGCACATTTAGGCTTTTTGCCTTCAGTCTGTGACACTGTTTTATAAAGCTCTCTGACCTCTGAAATGTTGGGGCTGTGAAGTAGCTGTCAGTGATTGCAGGGGGGCTGGAGGAGGTGATCCATATTACCCTTTCTAGTTTGAGGATGGTAGTAAGGCTTTAATGACTGTATTTCATCTTCACAATGCTCAGTTCCCTTTGGTTACTGCCATGGTGTGTATCGGAGATATCTACCATCTAATGAACTTCTTCAGCTTTTCCCGATGGCTCTTCATAGGATTAGCCACCCTTGGGCTCATTGTCCATCGCCACCGTCACCCGGAGCTGCACAGCCCCTTCAAGGTAACGCATGGCATGTATCTAGCATCTAGGAATGTGCAGGCTTGTAATTTCTCTCTCTTATTTGGTAAAAATCAGAGCATTACAAGGCCATGGTTGCCTTTAGGGTCTAAGGAGTCTCAGTTACTATTGCTCAGTAAGACATGTGGGAAGCTCATGAAATTGATTGATGTACCCAAACAGCCAGATGTGGTAGAACTCATAAAGCCGGTTCTACATGGCGTCACCAGCTGCATCTATAAGATGGCATCCTACTTCAGGGGACTCCCAGTTTCATGCTGGGAACAAGGAGATGTGCAAAAGGCAATTCCCACACTCATCTCTTGTGGGCTGCAAGGAGGGACCCTTGCCTGGATGTAGGTAAGTGGTAGCTAAGTCTCCGCTCTCAAGAAGCAGGAGGATGTTGGGCTTGGGGGAAAAGCGCATGGCTGGAGGGACCCTGGGAACAGACCTGACTTAGGGGGAATCATCTGCTGGCACAAAAACACCATATAGTGTAAGTCAGCTTGTGTGCAACTGTTGCTGCTGCAGGCCCTGAGGACGTGGAGAGCACGCACATGCATACCACAAAGCGTAGGACGCCTTGGACTCTCGTGCCTTTCCCTAGGCTCTGGCTGGGCCCCTCCAGTGGCCCTTCTCACACTGCTGGTGATGGGATCCTCCTCCTGTTGGCGGCAGAAGTTGGAGTCAGCGCTGGAGCAGCTTCCTTGCGCTACAGGCACCTTTCCCACTGCCGGATATTGTGCCGAAGGCGTTGTGGGGTGTGTGTGTGGGGTGTGCTTGAGGCATGCACAGTTTGTTCCTGTCCCTGGTTGTGCCTCCATGGTGCCTCCAGCCAGTTCCTGGGGAGGAGAGGAGACCTCCGAGGCCATAGGCACCGGGCAGCCCATCAGTGAGAAGCTCAGGGGACAGAAACGCTTCCTATGGCTCCCAGGGCTCCTCCCTGAGCTGCGTGAGGCCTGATGCAAGGTTTGGGGTAAATTTTCTTGCTGTTTGCTGGAGACAGTGTGTTTAGCAGAGACCTTGAAGCTTCCCAGTTTGTTTGTTGGCTGCGCTCATGTACTCATGCAGAACCAGAGTTTAAATAAGTTTTCTCTTTTTTCTTTTCAAAGTTTTCTTTTTTTCTTTTTAAAACTTCTCAGGGGAAGTTTGTTAGTGGATAGAACTGGTGATGTTTTCAGTTGCTGAGATTTTGCCCCATTTTGTTTTAGACAGAGATTTAAGCCTTTAACGGTCCCTAAATGCAGCTTAAGTGAGGGGGGGAAATGCTGGGCTTTTGGCCAGTTTGACTGACTTTTTTCCCCCCTTCTTCCCCTAGTTTTTATACCCACTTGAAACCCGAAGCTCAGTTATCTGCAAGCGGGGAAGGCTGCGTGCAGGTGACGCGGGCATGTGCTGCACTCTAGTGGCCACAGACAGGTCATCTGCAGCCAACAGCTACGGAGAAAAGTCATAAAAAACACATGATTGTGCTGGTACTAATTCTCCCCTGTAGCATTTTGGGTTAAGAATGGTGTGAAAACACCAGTAAGAGGAGAAAGCAGTACTCGCAGACACACCTCTCAAGCAGATGTGCAGTGTGAGTGCGTGCACGTAGGAGAGGCTGGCAGGGGATAGTCTGGCTGGAGAGACAGCAAGAGCACATAAGTTTGGTGGCTGGATGGCTGCCATCACTAGAGCAACTAATCTCTTCCAGCTCGGCATGGTCAGCATCCAAAATAGGATCTCTCTTACCGGAAAATAGATTGTCACCCTAGATGAGACCATCCCAGCAGCTTCTTCATTCTATCAGCCATGGTGAGGAGTAACTTGGCTGAGGTTGGATCCAAACCCTGAGTTTTATTACTTACTGCAGTCTTCCGATTTACTCTCCAAATAACCCAGATGAATTGGCTTACCCAACAGGATAAGGCTGAAGTGCTGAGTGCTTCTTTGGTCTTTCATCAGTGTGTTGTTGAAGCTCATGTTCTTGATGCAGGTGCTATGGTGAGAGGGAGTCTGGTTTATCCTGTTTTGGCCACTATAAGTCTCAGGGATCTGGAGGCATGTCAAAATGAGTCACAAGTGTTATAAACAAAGAATGGTTTTATTCAAAGTGCTGCTTCTACTCTTGGCTTCAGAGTTTCCACCAGCAGTTGCCACAGGTGGCAAGTAGATAGGTGTGCGTGTGCAGGCACAGGAGAAGTACATCCAGAGAGCAGTGGGGTACAGGTGGCTTATCCCCGTTTGGCTTCCAGTTGCAAGTGAGGTTTATATTTTGATGCACATGAATATGAGGCATGCACCTCATAGGGCACACTAGGCTCTGAAGATGGTATGAGTCAAATTTTGTACTTGTTCACATCTGATTGTATAGAAACAGTGTGGAGAAAAGCTATATGATTTTTCTCGTCTTCTTTAAGATGGAGAAGTGAATACAGCATGTGCTGGCATGTATGGAGGCCAGTTTGCTATAGCCATCAGTTTTGCCTGAGAGTCTTCTGTGCTCTTTTTCCCAGGTTCCCCTGTTCATTCCTGTCTCTTTTACCATCATCTGCCTCTTCACAGTGGCAATGTCTTTCTACTCAGACCCTGTGAACATTAGCATTGGATGCACCATGGTTTTAAGTGGTTTTCCAGTCTACTACCTCATAATCCATAGGCAAATGTCAAAACGTTGCCGTAGCCCATTTTGTAAGTATGTGTTTGAATTTCAGTATTGTGGACCTAAACATGCTCAGGGTGGGGATGTTGGCTTGTTCCCAGGGCTTGCCTCTAATGCAAACTACTCCATGACCAACAGACCTCATGAAACCTAAAACCTGCCACCTCTTCAATGGCTTTCCTAAGACACAGCATCTGTAGCCAAAGAGACGAGGGATAGGCTGTGCTGCAGGGGGTTGGCAGCCAGGCACGGACTGGCCGACTTGTGAATTATACGGATAAGCCAGCTTCGTGCTCTGATTTTAAAAAGACAGGGCTGAGGTCTACCAACAGGGGGAACAGGGTCACTTTTGCACCGCGGTGTGGTTTCTACTAAACTTTGGCATATCTTCAGGATTACCACCTCTTGTCAAATTTGGCTGACACTGAGCAACAAGATAAAAAGTTAGGATGGAGAGACTGACAGGCAGACACTGTAACCCCGTGCCCAAACATACTTGCTGAAAGGCTGGGGAGAGGACTGGTGGGAGAAGACGGTGCTGCCTGAGGGCTGTTTGATGAAGAGGCACAGATGTGGGGTGTAAATGAAATGCATCTCCACTCCATGCAATGTCCAGCATAGATTTCCTTTGGGTGTAGCCCTGGTGGCACAATGATTTACTCAGAAACCAGAGCCCCATTTTGAATTGAATTTATAATTACAGTTATGAATCTTGGTTTCTTTTGATTTGATGTTGGGCTGAGGTCTATCAGTAACCACTGAATAGAAAAAACACACAGCAAGTAAGAAGATGGATTCAGTGATCTGCTAACATAAAGTGCCCCAGCCATCAGTGCTGATGCTCTGATTTTCAGCTGTATCTGAAGATTTCCTCTGGACTAAACTTTCTGCCTTTTTTTTCTCCCCTTTCAGATTATCTTACCCGCAAACTACAGGTACTGCTGGAAGTAGTCCAACAAGAAATCAAGACTTACTGAGAAATCATCAGAACTCACGGGAGAAGATAAGATTTACTTACTCAGTTTCTGATACCTTTGATCCTACCAAAGGCCATGCTCTCATTCTTTTAATCACTGCAAATGAGGATAAACCTGAGCCAAGACTTTGCTGCAAGTCTTCCTAAGCTTGCCAGTCAGGATAAGTGTTTGCATCTGCTTCTGCCCTTTTCTTTTTTAGCAGAACAATCTATTTCTCTGAAATGAACTTGCTTTGCTTGTAGAGTCTCTTTGAAACCAAGATTCTAATTTTGCAGCCTAGCCCAGTTCTCAGTAAAATAGTGTGTGTGTGTGTGTGTGTGTGTGTGTGTGTATATATATATATATATATATGTATGTATATATATATATATATATATATATATATATACACGCACACCCACCCCCCACTTTTAGTTTCCTAACTTGGCAAATAGAAGAAGGGAGCATGTTGCAGAACTTAAGAGTCCAGTTCATAGAAGCAAAATGCAGGTTTCAAACTGAAGTGTTGTAGTAGCCATGCTGTGGACAAGCAATATTGAAGGGAAATGGGTGGGGAAAGCAAACTAGAAATAAGGAAAGGAGGCGGCAGGGGAATAAAACTTTGTTCATCAGAAAGTGCCAATTCAGACTAATGAGAAGATGTTTGAAAACCCTTGGAAATTCAAATATTAACAAAGTAAGGTCAGAATGTTCTGATTTGATGGTTGTATTAGCAGAATAAGTTTATTTTGCTTTTAAAGAATATTTAAATTTTGAATTTTATTTTTCTGAAATTACATTTCAAAATGTACAAACACAATAAAAAAAATCAGCTAAATATCAACAAGAGTATGACAAAGTAGATTCTGATCCCTCTCCCAGCCTTCCAGTCCTGCTCCTCACCTGGCACTACCAGTGAAGTTGAAAATTCAGGTTTTGGCTCAACTCCAGTGAAAAACAATTTCTTTAGTTAGACAAGGCCACTGATGAGACTTGGGCAGATTCCCAAATAAGTGCATTTTCTGGTGCTGTAGGAAGACATGAAACACTTCATGTCAGAGCTTTAACTTTAAATCTGCAGGCAAATGACTTACTGATTTGATACGTAACTGCTCATCTGAACTATTGAAATGAAAATGGTTTCTGTTATTAAATTGGTTAACATTATTAATGTGGCAATGTTATGTCCAGATAAAACAGCGATTAGCTATTTCAAATCCCTTAATTCTTATTTTTTTTCCTAAAAGATGGGAAATAGCATGCTGAGACTCCTCTAATGGCCACTAAAGTGAGGAATAGCAGAATGTGGAGCATTTTAAATCTTTTGTATCAAGCATTTATGTACTTAGACTAAAAGCAAAGTATCATTTACAAACCCAGTGTAATCTACCAAAACTTGTAAAATTCACCATCAAGATTTGGAAATAAATAAGGTGGTTTTTTTTTTTTTCCAAGGCAATTGAGAATTATTATTCTTGTTATGACTGTTTCCTGTCCCTGCGCCAAATTAAGCTGGGATAGTAGCAGCATGGTTGCAGGTCTCGTTTCTCCCCTCCCACAGTTTAATTTACAAGCTGCTAAACATAGTCCAACAGAAAATCCAGTCTTACTGGGAAAACCATCACAACCTATAGGAGAAGGTACTGGCTTTAAATGGGAGTGTGGTGGTTTCAGGTGAGATCTGGAAATGTTTCCAGGCTCCCAGACATGGGTTGGTCCCCACCCTTGCAGCTTTGCTGAAGCTGAACTCCCTGGTGCACCTTTCCACAGCGCCCTGCAGCCAGGCCCCAGTGTGGGTGGCTGGGGAACCAACCTGCAGAAGACCTTGCAGAACCAGGTGAGCCCCATCACCCCATCGCAGCCTGGATCCACCCCGTTAGGTACTGGTTTGGGGGATTTTACACGTCTTGAGGTAGAAGCATGAGACACTGCCAGCCTGGTCCTGTGGTGCAGGACTCCTGTGAGTGCAGTGTGCCCATGCTGCACCATCAGTACTCATCCATCAAATCTTGGGGCGGTCTGAAATTGCAACAGAGCTGCTGTGTGTCTGCAGGTAGACACACAGAAAGGGTGAAACATCACTTTTTTTTTTTTTTTTTTTTTTTTTTTTTTTTTTTGTCCATTTCCTCTGAAGAGAAAAAGGGAACAAGAATTGAAATTCCTGGGGGGAAAATAAATAGTCCTACCTGCTGGACCAAGGTTTCTTTATACATGTGTCCTGGTTCAGCCAGGATAAAGTTTTCCCCAGCAGAGAGAGAGGGGGAAGGGATCTCCAGCCGGGTTATTCATACCATGCTGACATCAGGTCCAGGGGTGAAGCCTTTTTACTTTCGCTTCTGGTTTTGGGGGTTGTGACACACGCGGTGGGCTTGTTCCCTGACCATTTAGCAGTACTTCTCTGTATATCTTTTGTCTTGTTCACTGTTATTGCTGTTTATTGTTGTTACCATTGATACTGTTGTTGTTCAGATTGTTCTATCACTCTGTTGTATTAAATTTCTTGTTATTTTAGCCAGGGTCTGTGTCTAACTTCCAGCCCAATCAGCGCAGGTGAGGGAGGGGCAACGGCAACGTGCTCTCTCATCCCGGCAAGAATTAAACCTTGCACAACATGATAAATCATTTGACAAGTGCAGGGAAACCATACTTGGGTGCTTCTGCTGACTGTGCAGGAAAATGATCTTGCAGGGCTATATATAGGATGACTGCTCCAAGACCTGTCAGATACTGGAAATGCAGACAGATATAGTACCACTGTTACACTGACAGTTAGAAATCAGAGGTTCAACAGGTCTATGGATGACATTGCAATTAAAAGTGATAAAAATAAAATGTATGATGTTCAGAAGATAGCAGTTTACAGTTTGTGGTGAGTTGTTTAGAGAGGATGGTATGCTGCTCCCAGCAAAGCTATATAAATATTTTCTACCAAGCCAGAATGTTTTTCCTAGAGCTGATATCTCATGCCTACTGAAGCTCTTGGCTTCAGTTCAGAAGAGTATTTTACTAGAGGATTCACATATACAAAAATGAACCTGTGGGATCTGATCCTATAGATCTCATCAGTCAAAGGGAAGCGCAGAAGTTGTGCAATTGTGGAGGTGAAAGCCAGATGACTATATGGGAGGTCAAAAGCCAGTCAAGAACGGCCAGATGGGGAATAAACAAAGTTCAACTTCATAATCACATTTGTGGTGGTTTTGTGTTTGTAGGTTTGGGGTTTTTTTAATACAATGTCTATAAAACGCCCTGAGAGTGCAGCCTTTCCAGAGACTAAAACAGAGGTTTATGTGTTTCAGCTGCTACTGATCTGGTCTGACTGGATCATCAGGAAATAAAAATGTTCTGGGCAATTCAACTGAACATAATTTGTGCAACAAAACAAAAGTTTGCATCTGAATAAGTTTATGTAGTTAGTACTACTTGACCTGTTGTTATGCTTTATGCTTCAGAGCTCTGCTGGGAAATGCTGTCAGCCTTTTAGACCTAAAGGCTGGAGGTCAGACTGGAAAGCTTCAAACCCTTCTCTGATTTCCATGGGGAAGAACAGAGCGGAGCTCAGGCTTCAAGGTAAAGGAACACAAACAGTCAGGACAGTGCAGAGCTCTGTGGGGGCTGACTGAGCCTGCTTCCCAGGGCTCTGTGCTTGCTCTGCACTAGTTTGGGTCACTCTGGGCAGTGCTGTGTGCTGCACCCCCCCACCCCACCCAGTGTGTTAACCAACATGGACAGCATGTTTGAGATGCACCCGCTTTCTGCATTGAGATTTGGGGTTTGCTTTGCAAGGCAATGCCAGCTTTTGGCTTTCAAAGAATGATGTTCAGCAGAAGCTGCTCCCAACAGAAATCTTGAAAGAATAAGGTCCTGAATATGGATGGGAGGAATCAGTTCAAGGTAAGTGCTGGTGAGAAATAACAGGAACCAAGCAGTAGGGATAAACTACGCTGGTTTGTAGGAATGTTGATTTTATTGATGCATCTGCCAAAAACTACAGCTGTGCCTGGCCGGTCTGCTCATGCCTGGCAGATGCGCGTGTGTGTGGCGCAGTAACCAGAAGGAAATGCTACTCTGTTCTGTTTCCTATGGGGCAGTGGCCAGCAGAGAGGCATCCATGACTTCCCACAGAGAGAGACTCCGAGAGAGACAGCAGGGTACAAACGTGCAGCTCAAACAGGCTCAAAGAAGCACAAACAGGCCAGTCGAATTTTATCTCTGAAGGTTTTACTGCTCCTGGGAGACCTTTCTCATGCGGAGCAAGGGTTCAGAGGGCTTGTCTGACTGGCAGGCACGTGGCTGATGCCCTCAGCTCCCGGGGTTGGCAGCTGGCAGCCCGACAGCAGGACTGTGAGTAGGGGAGCTGGGGAGACAGAGTGTGCCGGGCTCTAACAACTTTTCCAGGGTAATGCTGAGCTGGGAGGGAGGAAGTTGGTGATTTAATGGTTTGTGGGCTTGGCTGTAGGGCCTGCTGGAAGGATACCTGCTTGCTGTTACTCATACAGTAAGCTGTGTTTATATCTTCACTAATTCATCCTTTCTTCCACATGAGGGAGAAGCGTGTAAGAAAAAGGGTGGCATGAGGTTGCTTTTTACATATAAAATCATCTCTGTATAAAGCTATTCCTGTGGAGATATAAAAAGCAATTTACAGGGTATCTCACAGCTGCACAAGACGCAAAATCTTCAGCAAAAGGTGGAGGACACTGCCTGTCTTGCCAGTGAAATATTTCACTGGTCTGCTTTATTAAGTGTTTCACATGTTTCTTTCTTGTTGGGGTTAGCTGGTGAGTGGAAAATCCCTGCAAGGAGCAGAAACACTGGCAAGTGAAAGTGAAAGTAGGGCACAGCCAGACATTTTGGAAAACTGATGGGGTTAGGGCAGACTGGGGACCCTGGGTCTTGTCAGGGATTAGCATTCATCTATAGAGCGGGGCGAGAGGGAAGTGGGATGGTGAGAGCAATGAAGAAAAGCTGCCTGGAAACACCAACCCACCCAACTCTCTTGCTTTCCTTTCTGTTTTCCATCTACCCCTTAAATCCCACACTTCAAATTCACAAACTTCAAATTCTTCTGCCACAGCAGCAGCAACAGCAGCACACTGCTGTGCAGAGGGGAGAAAAGGGACAGCCACAACCAAAAAAAGCTCTCAGGAGTGCTGGGTCTCATGAATCTCCTGCAATGGCGTTTGAGAGAAAATGAATTGGGAGAATTTTTCTAGGAACAGGTTTGGCTGGTGTACTGCATACAAAGTGCAGCTGTGGTCCGAAGACAGCAGTGGAACAAGCGAAGGCTGAGAAGGAGACTCGGGTGTTTCCTTGCTCTTTGTTCTGGCAGTCTTGGGGCTGCCAAGCCTTTCTTTGTGGACCTTTGAACTGTAACCAGCTCTATAAGGGAGTTCCTCCTATAATGATTTCACCTGATTAGCCTGCTCTGAATACCGGTGATCCCTGCCAAAGTATGGAATGCGCCAGAGCTGGATAAATGATCATTTCCAGTTTCTGTTCAAATACTGTGTTCAAGTTCTTCAGGCAGCTCTGAGTAGTTCAGCCACAGACCCTTTCAAACTCCACAGCAGGCAGGTGGGCAGGTCTCGTCTGTGGGTATGTGCTCCACAGGAGGGTAATGTTATAGAAACAACGAAGTGATAAGATGCATAGAAAAATGTTGGCTGAGCCCAAAACTGGGACAAGCAAAGGAGCTTGAAACACAGCGGCAAGCAAAGTAAAATCCTCTGATTTTGAATTATTGGCGCCTACCTGTTTCAGATTGTTCTCTTTGTAGGTGCTGTGTCTCCAGGATAGAGCACAGAGCAGAGACTTCACTGGTAAGTGATTTTTTTAGCCTTTTTTATTTTTATTTTTTTCCCCCCTCTAAGGAATTTGACTTTGGCTGGCTGCCATACACCCACCTAGCATTCTCACTCCCCCTTTTCACCCGGACAGTGGAAGAAAATAAGGTGGAAAAGTTCATGGATTGAGGTAAAGACAGGGAGATCACTCACCAATTACTGTCATGGGCAAAACAGACTTGACTTGGGGGAAGTTAATTTATTGCCAATTAAAATAAGTTTGGATGGTGAGAAACAAACCCCAAAATTAGAACACCTTCCCCCCCCCCCCTTTCCCCCTTCTTCCCAGGCTCAACTTCACTCCTTCCTTCCTGACTCTTCTACCTACCCCCACTTGCCAAGTGATGCAGGGGGGGGATGGAGAGTGGGCATTGACCTCAGTCCTTAAGTGTTGCCCTCTGCCATTCCATCATCCTGAAAAAATTCCCACGCTCCAGTGTGTCTCCTTCCATGGTCTGCAGTTCTTCAGGACAAGCCTGGTCTGGCATTGGCTCCTCTCTCTGGATCACAGCTTCCTTCAGGGCATGTCCATGTCCTGCAGCACTGGGTGCTCCAGAGGCTCTAGTATGGACATCTGCCTCACCATGGTCTTCCAGAGATTGCAGGGGCACAGTCTGCTTCACTATGGTCCTTATGAGCTGCAAGGGAATCTCTGCTCTAGTTCCTGGAGCACATCCTCCCCTCCTTCATGGACACGTGTGTCTGCAGGGCTGCTTCACTTGCAATTTTCCTCACTTCTCACTGGTGGGCAGCTGTCTCAGAGGTGCCACCAGCTTGGCTGATGGGCTCAGCTGTGTCCTGCAGTGGGACTGTTGAGCTGGCTGTGTCCAGCATGGAGCATGCCCTGGTCTCTTCTCACAGAGGTGACCTCTGCAGCCCCCCACTGCCAGCACCTGGACACCTGCACCCAGTACAGTACCTGTGAGCCGCAGCTTTGCTCTCCTGAATGCTGAAGGAGGGGTGGTGCTATCAGTGCCTTCTGAAGGCAGTTTGACTTCTGCAGTTGATCACATACTGCCTAGAAGCCAAGTCTTACTCCTGTTAGCTGTGGCACCACTGGCCTTCACATAACAAGCTGAGTTTATTGTGTCAAGTTGTATTTCCTTACAATGTGTATTTTAGAATTATATATTTCAGAGAAACACAGTAAGCCAGGTCTGAGCCATAGAGGTCAGGGTCATTTCTGTGAGGCTTACCATGACCCATGTATGTACAAACATCAGTTCCTCTGTTTTGGGCCAAACCTGCACTTCCCAGCTGGAGGGATCTCCTTTTCTGAGAATTGGTTAGTCTTCTGACCAGAGCAAGTGTATCACATAGTTTGGTAACTTTGGAAAAAAAACATGCTTTAATCTGGATTTCTTTTCTGATGTTAGGGCCAAGCAAGCAGCCAGCCATCGGTCAGCTCTTCTGTGCCGGTGGTGTCTTCCGACTCATCTGTCCGCTCCCAAAATGGAGTATGCCTGGTACTGGCTCGATGATTCTGGGCAGTGGATTGAGTATGGGGAAGAGGTGAGATCTGTCCGCTGTTGATGCTAAAAGCTCTTGTTAAGGTTTCTTCAGAGAGCTGTTTAGGGCACACTGTCCTGCAGCTGGTGTGTTTCGCTCGCCTCTGCGTGCCCTTGCAGCTCTACTCTGATGCCCTGGTGGGTTTGTCTTATTAATTGTTCCTCAATGCAGTACTGCTACTCTGTGAAAGCTTTCAAAGGACTGGCTTTGAAAGCAGGTACATTGTCCAGAGATGATGGACATCTTTTGGCTGAAGCTGACCACCCAGGCTGAAGGCTGCTTTGTTGCTGTTGTTAAAAGCAGTTATTCTCTGTGGGGCACCCCTCCATTGCTGAAGAATAAAACGCCTGAAGCCTTAGAGACGTAGTTCAAAATGGCATCCCATGACAGGGGCCTGGGGAAACACTGGTATTTCCCCACAGTGTCACCTAGACCAAAGATGGGTTTCTAACAGGTATAATTTCCCTGCTCTCTCTATAGCATCCGGATCACTGCCCTGCCACGATGTCATCTGCAGATCTGGAGAAAGAATTTCTAGCTGACGAGAAAGGCAGTGTGTTATTCAGAGCTGGTTCTCAGAAGTATAAGTTAAACTTTAAAGGTGAAGTATCTCTTTGTTTTAAGTTCATTACACAGTGTAGCTGGCTTTAATGTAGCCTCCTTCATGCAGAGTTTTTACCCTGTGTCAAGGTTTCTTTGAACAGTCTTTTTCTTCAAACAGAGCTTGAGCAGTTTGCACATTTCTCTGCAGTTTTGAGGTGCCCTGCTCCAGCTTCTAAACTTGTGCATCTACAGTCAGAAAAGCATCTCTGACAATACTGTATATTTAGAAGAAGAGCTGAGAGTAAACTTCGTGGTGTCTGGCTTATGTATTTGGGTTTATACAGCTAAAGAGGAGAAATGAGAAAGGAAAAAAAGAAGCACTGAAAAGTCAAATGTTGAAGAAGTGACCCCATGAGAGACATCTTGCAAGCTAGTTATGGGAAGAGAAAGCACACAGTGCAGCAAAGGAAAATTTAGGACTGACTGCACACAGAGAGAAATGGGAAATTAAGAAATGCTTTTCTGTTTCTAATTTATTTACCCATCTTAAAATTTCCATTGGCTTTCCAAACTTTAAATCTGTTTCCTGGCATGAATAAAGAGAGTGGTGTTTAAAGGATGAAACAATGGATAATTAGCCATGTCACACAGCATGTGCTCTGTGATATTGTTACAGGACCAAGAAGAGAGGGCAGACTTCCCTCTTAGCACCACGTAACAATCCTGCACTGCCAGGAAAGCTAGATTTATAGCCTCCATCATACTGAAAACTCTTCCCTGCTACAGGCCTGACATCAGATGTGGTTTTCTCTGGCTGACAGCCTGAATGTGAATGCATGTGCAGGTGCTGTTGGTGGTTGGGTTGCCTTTGAGCTTCACAGCCTGTGCTAGCAGGTTGTTGACCTTGCTGATCTCTGAGGAGAAACGGCACAAGTGGGAATGGTTTCAAAGTATGTAGTGGGGTGGGGGTGGTAGAGAGCACCACAATGCGGTATTCAGGGCTACGTCCATTTCGTTTTTTCTAAACACATAAGAATGTGAGTTACTGAGTCATTGTGGTTTTTTTAAGACATGATCCAAACAAATGTGATCTATAAAACTGAAAGAAGAGTTACCCGATGGCCAAAATTTCTGTCCATTGAAGATCAACAAAACAGAAGGTAATACACATTTGTTATTTGATAATGTCTCTAGATGACAGCACCTTTCTGCTAAGAAGTTCCTCCTACCTTTCTAGAATTCAATTTTAGACTTCTGGAATTCATTTTTAGATACCTTTTGCTGACTGGTTTAATGGTAAATTTTGCAGTGACAGTATTTGTAAATTATGCAACACTTCTGTGAAGCGTGCTGGAGGGATGTTTGGTGGCAGACTCTGGCAGCTGAGAGAGACCCCTAGAGTAGATTTGTTCTCTCAGTGAGGGCAAGGCCACATAGGGCTGACAAAACTGTGCTTGGAATTTTTATTCCTTGATTTATGCCCCAACAATACTAAATAAACTGTGCATGGAGTAGGAGTAAGGGACTGTCAGTCCCAAGAACTGTAGAGCAGATAGATGCCATCCCCTGGAAAGCTTAGGACAAAATAAAACACAGAAGTAAATCCCTCTAAATGAAGTGAACTGGATGCACTTATTTGGGATACCCTATCTGATGGCTTTTTTAAAGGAACTTCAGCTTGACAGAATTTGAGCATGTCTGATGTAAAAATTAGTTGTGCTACTGCTTTATTTTAAAAAGACCTGCCTTTCGTTCAGAAACTCACCAGCAGACAGTGCATTTGAAGCTAAGGGTTCAATTTAAGGGTTGGTTCAACTGGGTTGATTAAAAAACAAAACAAACTGCAGTCCCTGAATGGATGCTAATATTCCTATTGGCTGGGTTAAAACATGCATGCCAGGAGGGGTTAGTGCTGGAAGTTGTTGAGCACTGACTAGTGCAGTAGCTCCCGCAGGGCACAGCAGTCTACCCACAGCCTCCTGAGAGGCTTGGTCCCAGGGACAGGTAGGGGCAGGCCACTCATCAGGCCAGCAAATTAGAGATGAGTAGCCACATGGAGGGAGAGGCTCATGCTCCAGTTTCCTAGAGGTTCAAGCAGCACACGTGGAGAGCTAGCTGGAGTGGTTGTACAAACCACCAAGCTAGGAGCATGTTACTTCTCATTTGAAGCTCTCCTACCAGTGTCATGACTTGCCAGAAGATGCATTAGGATGCACTAGGATGTGTGTGGAAATCTCAACTGGAGAATAGGATAATGCAGAAAGTAAAACAAATATAAAAATCCAGGGATATACCCAAAAGTATACCCAAAGTCAGTGGCTGGATTGTCTGGAAGGGGGATTTCGTTAGGAGTATCACGGACTGACTTGCTCCTTTTTTCTTTTCTGCAGGCAAAACATGACACTGTCAAGTTTTGTCTGTCCTCCACAATGGGACAAATCTGCACTGCCTGATATCGGGTTCAAGGTAGGTCTTTCCAGCTCCCCAATAGGTAGGGTGAACTGTCATGTACTATTTTTTTCTGAGAAGATGACCGTAGGCAGTTATTTTCAGCTTTCAAACATGTCTTATAAAATAGGCAACTATGAGGTGAAACAACACTGACTTCACATTCAAAATAGACCTGTGTCTCTTGGGAGGTTCTCTGAGACCCCCTACACACAGGATAAGAAATGCCCTTTTAGCTGTTACTGCTCTGACATGTCCTTTGCACTCTCCCAAGGCACCTGATCCTCTGATAAACTGTATGAATTGCATAGTAAGAGGGGGTCTTGTGTTTCCTCCATCCATTTAAGGCAAATGTTAATTGCCATGATAAAGCCAGGGCTTAGCCCTGTGCGGAAGGAGCTGGAGCATCAAATTAAGGTGAAATTGATATTCATAGAATCACGGAATCGTTTAGGTTGGAAAAGACCTTGAAGATCATCCAGTCCAACCATTAACCTAACACTAACAGTTCCCAAATACACCATATCCCTCAGTGCTATGTCGACCCTACTCTTGAACACCTCCAGGGACGCGGACTCCATCACTGCCCTGGGCAGCCCATTCCAACGCCTAATGACCCGTTCTGTAAAGAAATGCTTCCTAATATCTAGTCTAAACCTTCCCTGGCGCAATTTGAGGCCATTACCTCTTGTCCATTCACTCTTGTCCAGCCCGAATACTGCTGTGCATTTTAGCTTTTGGTTACTCTGAAGTAGAAATAATCTAGATGTGAAGCTGTGTCCATGGAAGGAATCTTGTGTGGGATTACATTAATTTTCCTCAGTCAGCTTCCACATGGGGAGTGAGGGTGAAGATGGGGAGAGAATAGTTTACTGGAAAGACGGGAGAAGCCTGTGATTTTAATGGCAGGGATTTTCCTCTAATGTGAGGGGGTTGATGAGTCCTTTGGCAGGACTGGGAGTTGTTACTGTCAGTAATACCTTATTTTTGATATTTTTAAAATTTTCAGTTGGTACAGATCAGCTACAGTTCCCAGGAATATCAAAAAATTAAGATGCTGTTTGGGAAGACGATGAAAGATTACTTCATCCACCAAATCCAGAGAATCCAGAACCCAACACTTTGGCAAGTTTTTCAGTGGTTTGTGTCTATTTTATTTCATTATCCTTATGGTAGCAAAAGACTGATATTTCCTGATCTTTTGTCCTCTACAGTCTGCACTAGGGGTTGCCAAATCCAGCAGCCCAGCAGAGGTGAGACTGACACATATCTGTGTGCCTGGGTCCCACTGGTAGTGAGGTTCAGCACATGTTCCCAGTAGGTACACACACACAAAACGTATAAATAAGCACACAGCTGGCCACAAAATCCAACACAGACATCACATCATTCATGCAGTCACAAACAGCACCATCAGCCTCATTCTGTTCCCTTCCTCTGGCTGTTTGGGATGAAAGCCTCTTAGTGGAACATATGTACATGTATGGGTCCCTGTAGGAGCTGGTCTTAGACACTCAGATTACCCATGTGCTGGCTTCTCGATTCTCTCGTCTCCAGTTATGTTCTGCATAGACACAGACACATGCAAATGGGTCTCTAGGGACTTCATGATGTCTTCAGCGGTTGACCTGACCTCCTGGTCACTCTGAGAAGCAAGCTCAGACCTCCTGGTCTCTCCAGCACCTGGCCCAGACTGATGACTGTTCTGAAACCGGGCTCCCAGGCCAGCTACCCTCCTCACTGGCTGTTCAGCCTTATACTGGCTAGTGATCACACGCTGCCACATGCACCCTCGCTTGCTACAGTTGCTAGTGCTGTGGACATGTGGCTCTTGTGACCCAAGGTCCTACTCCAGTTGCTGCACCCCAATGCCTGTACATGTGCATGCACACGGACTGTAGAGTGCATCACCCAGGTAAGAGTTAGAATTGGAGTTTAATGACAAGACAGGGCAGACTGCATTGATCAGGCACAGGCCATGGCCATATAAGCCTACTGACTGGACAGTTGCCTCTTTTACCCCCTTATCCATCTATTTTCCTATGTTTGTTCCTCCTCAGATCATTCTGATCCCTCCCTTCTCCCATCTACAGTTCCTCTGTTTAACACCTCATTATAAATCCTGTGCCATCCCCAAATGCTCTTCCCTTCTGTCCCATAACAAGTCCCATACTCTCGTAGGCTCTACCTTCCTTCTGTCTGTGAACTGCTCTGGACTCTTTCCATCACCGTGGTACTGGGTGTACACCTCATCCCTGGGGCTGAGGCTCCCCTGGGGTAACCCTGAGAGGGGCCGGGTCTGGGTCTCCTTTCAGTGATCAAGTTATTGAGGTTGTCTCTGTGCTCTTTTGTGTGTGTGGAAATGAGTCTTTTATCACATAGGCTAACAGGTTGTGTGTGGGGTTCTTGCTAATTTTATTCAAAAAGAAAGTTATTTTCCTTCACCATGACTGAGCTGTGGTATCTCAAATTTATTCTTTTTGTTTTAGTCTCTTCCTTTAAAAAAAAAAAAAAAAAAAAAAAGGTAGGGGTAGACATTACACAGTCTTCACTGTGGATTCATACAGCTCAGTTTTATAATCATATTTACGCATTCAGGATTTATATAACCTGGGAACTGACCAATTCCGCCAAGAGATGTTTGTCTCTTTACCCTCTCATGTGGTATGAAGTTGTGGGTGACACAGTCCATAGCGATGCTGAGAACTTTTTGTTTTGCTGGAAGGAGCCAGATGTGCGGCAGGGTACCAACAAAAGTGCAAAGAAGGCAGTAACCCCACTGAGAGTGGTTTGTGTCACTGTTCCTCCATGACCCAAAAGTAGGAGTTGGGAAATTGTCCTTGCCTGAACCAGGGTAACATGTAATTCTTTTTGCTGTTTTTTTTTTCTCTTGTTTGTTTGTTTGGATTTTTGTTTTTTGTTGGTTTTTTGTCCCTAGGCAAAAAGAGCAAATGAAGAAGCTCAATAAATCAAAATGCGTGGATGAGCGGCTCCTGTTCCATGGGACGAGTCTGTCCCACATGTCTGCCATCTGTGAGCAGAACTTTGACTGGAGGATCTGTGGGACTCATGGGTCACTGTATGGAAAAGGTACAAGTGCAGAAGTGTGGGTTCAGGGGCTATAGCAGCGTGGGCTGCAGACCCCAACCAGGCTGATGGGTGGGTGAGAGGTGGCTGTCCCTGAGTCCTGCACTCCAGCCATTAGGACTCTTTCATCTGTGTGCATCTGCATGGCTGCAGGCAGCATCCACAGCAATCCCATTTCAGGGGGGGCTAAAAACTCCCCTCTTTCCTTCAGGTACCTTCAAAGCTCTTGGACAGGTGGGACTGCGAGATTGATGGTGAAATGTGGCGAGAGTCTGTGATGCTTTAAAATAAGCAGATAGAAAACACCTGGCGAGGATGCATGTAGAGCTATTGGGGGTTGTTGATCGCTAGCTGCCAAAGTGTTGATGGCAGCTGTTTGTTCCTCAGCTGACTTTTTGTCTGACCTGTGGCTTTTTCTGGTCCCTAGGAAGCTACTTTGCCAGAGACGCCAGCTATTCTCATGACTACTGTTCCTCTCTTGATGGTCGCTACAGCATGTTTGTAGCTCACGTTCTTGTTGGAGACTTTGTTCAGGGAAACCCTGAATACCTTCGCCCTCCAGCCAGAACCAGCAATTCAAACAGACTTTATGACAGCTGTGTGGATGACCCGATAGATCCTTCCATCTTTGTCATCTTTGAGAAGCACCAGATTTACCCTGCCTATATTGTGGAGTACAGCAGCGAGTCCCAGTGTATAATCCTATAATGAATGATGGAATGTCCTTTGAATTTACACTGAATAAATTACACTTTAGTACATATTTTTAAATATTTGATCAATTTTAGTAGTAGCTTTAGAACATTTTGTAATGCAGTGAAAAAATATCAGTCCCCTGAAGATTTTTGGTAGGGGCTATTCTTTTGCCAGCAGAAAGTGCTAAACTTTAATGTCTACCTTATCTCTAGCCCAGGATGGGGATGTACCTGCCTTTTGTAGAGCCTGATGTACTGCCTGATGCAGTGACACCTACTGCTGCTGAAAGGGGCACCTCTGAGCATACAATTAACTTGATCCACTGATACAGTCGCTTAGGGACAATTCCTGCCTGTGATGGTGCTGATGTGCCAAAGGGAGACTGGGTAAGGAATGTGGAAGGAGGAAAAGTGAAAGTACCTACATCATAGTGCACAACGGAGGAAATACAGTCTCTCTTTCCAGTAAATGGCAGGAAGCTCCTTCATCCTGGAGGCTTTGTAATTAATTCTGGCAATGAACTTTGCTTTGTTTCCTGGTCACATTGCTGACTGCTCTTCTCACCTTGTTCTTCTATATCAAGTCTGCTGGCCCCTGTGACACCCTGCCCTTGCTCTGTCCCTGCTGGGTTTAGTTCAAGAGAAGCAGCCATATTACAGCTGCTGAAGTTAGATCCCACTGTGCCATGGTACTAACAGTGAGGAAGTCTGTGGTGAGCTGAATAACGGCAAGTGGCAGCAGCAGTGACTGGTGAGGCAAAGGAGCTTTGTGAGGGGTGGCTGCTGGCACAGCCACCCCACTTCCCACCCTTCAGACTGAAGTTGGTATTTTGAATTGCCCTTCTGCTGCCTGGCACTTCTCCGGGCGATTGAGAAGTGCCCCAGTGGTGTGTGCTCCCACTGAGATGGATGGAGGAAAGCTTAGATGCTTGAAAGTTGGTGGATGGTGGAATAACATTTGGGAGGACTGATAGCATGGAAACAAAAGTTAATGGTTTATTTTAAAACAGTCCTGCTTTATAAACTGTTGTAATTCAGCAAAGGAGTCACAAGTGGTTCAGTTGTGCATGCTGTGAGTGGGAGGAACCAAAAGTAGGGATGTGTGTAGGATCTCATCAGCTTTCCTAAAGCCTGCTATCTTCAGGCCACAGTCTGCCCTTAGAAAACGTCAGAAAGGCAGGTGACCAGAATGAGTCCCGGAGCTGACATATTTAGTGCACTTTCATATCCCACTTCTTTTGCAGGAGCCTAAAGCTTGTTCTTTTGCAAATTAGTGACATAATCTTGTCAGCCACAAGTGAGCAGAGAGCTTTCCATGCACTTGGGAAGTAAAAGTGAAAGTCACTTAAATGGACTTTTTCCTGCATATATGATATTTTTTAATTTTAAAAAAAAGCAAAGCAAATGGCAGCCACACACCTTTCTCAGTAAGGAAAGTGGTGTACAACAGTTAATTGCTTTCTTGTGCTGTCAGTACCACTGCTTTGGAAAACTGCAGTGATTTTGGAGAGTGTTGGCCTAGGATTTGGCAGTTGTCATAGATCTGCATCCTGTGCTTTGCAGAAACATGAATCTGAACGTTATTTGTACAAACGATAACAGGAAGTCTGATTTAAACTGTTAATTTTATAAATAAGTGGGATGTTATAGAGATCTTTTTTGGTTTACAGACTTGCTGCCTGGCTGTGGCACCCATGGGCAGCATCACCCTGCAATCATCCTCCTCTTGATGTCTCCGAGCTGCAGGTCCGTGAGGATGGTAAGGCACTGAATAATGACCATTTCACCATTTCCAGCTGTTACCCTACCTTGGTCCTTGTAACATGCATAAATTTGCTCCATGACTTCATCAGCTTTTGGTGTGGTTGTGTGTGCAGCCTTTGGACAGAAGACAGGGGCTGGGAGATGGTGGGTTTGGGAAGAGTTTTTCTGTTAGAGGAAATGCTGTGTGGAATGATGCCCTTGTACATGCCATCTTCCCTCTTTCCTCTCTGCCATGACAGAAGAAACCATCCATCATTTGGGCAAAGGCTGTGTCAAGCGAGGTGGGCTTTGGGGTTTTGCCAACCTCCTTGGGGGCAGGAGAAGTTAAGGGAGAGCCTGCTTGAGGGGCAGGCCAGTCATCGAAAAAGGGGTTGATCTGAAAAAGAGGAAACCAGGCAGAGAGGAGAGGACAGGTGCAAACACGCAGAGTTTGGAAGAAAAGAAGATTTTTCCAGTAAGTCAAAACTATTTATGACTGTAGGGAGAGTTCCCACAGCCTCTAGCAATTGGGTGCCAGATATCATATGAGAAGGTCAGGCAGCAGTCTGGTGTTCTCAGCTGTAACCATGTGCTGTGGTGTGGGACTGCCGAGCTGTAGCTGCTGTTAGCTTTGTGTTGGAGTACCAGATCTGAAGGGGAAGTGCTCCTTGAGGAACCCATGCTATTTCAGGGTCACTCTCTGCAACTCTCACTCTGTGTCGCTGTCAGAAGGAGCCGTCCCACCTCCAGGTGTGTGTTGCTGCTGTTTTCCCCATGCCACTGCTGGTGACTGCTCTGGGGTGGGGACAATCAGATGGAGAGTGTTCACCTACTTGAAAACTGACCTGGCCAAAACCAACACAAAACCCAAACCCAAAATATGGTGTTCAGCAATAATAGTTCCCAGTTCTGCTTGTGCCAACACTGATAAAGAAGAAGGGGTGCTTCAGGGTAGATTTTGACTGGCATAACATGATACTGAGCCTCTAGCTCAAGCAGGGCTTTGAATGGTAAAAGATTTGGGAATATTTCAGTCTGTGAGTCACTGAGAGCAGAAACTACTAAGTCAAAGTGGTAAGGCAAATTAGTCTGTGAATACTTCTTTGTGGGAGTTCTGTTTGGTATTATTAATTTGCTAAAACTTCTTTCAGACTTGAACCTCCTGCTACCTCTGGAGTACCTGGGTGCCTGAGGCTGTGAACAGAAAGCATTCCTCAGCATGCTTTTAGAGAAATGCTTGCAAACCATCAGCAACACCTACAGTTGTTGGCAGGCACTAATCATGGATCTGATCTGTGGGCTTTTTTTTTTTTTTTTTTTAAAAAAAAAAAAAAAAAAAAAAAAAGTGTTTTGAAGAGCTCCCTACTCTGTTGAGAAAGGGTTAAATGACTTCTGACTCAGAGGCATGGGACTGACAGTATCAGAGTCGGGGTGATGGTGGTGGAAAACGTCTGACCTGAGGAGCAAGGTGAGTAGCCAACCTGATTTCTGTGGCATTTTGTGCCTTCTCTGCCAGCTGGGAAGGTGTTGGGGTGGGCTTGTCCTGGAACCTCCACCATGCACTGAGGGTAGGGAGTAAGTCTGCCCTCAACATGAGATGAAACCATCAGTAAGTATCTTCGCTAATACCTTCTCCACCTTTCTAATATGGTCTCTGTTAGGAGGGTGCTGTGGGAACAATTCATCTGTGCCGCCATGGGGAGGATTTTGGGGAGCGTGGCAGCTACTGGAGGCCAGAGGGAGAGGGCTCTGCTGAGAGGCCATCTGCCTCTGCAAGAGTCCCCAAATGTAAAGGTGTTAGCTCAAGTGATCCTTTCAATGTAATGCATTTCTAATTGATTTTCATGTGGTGCTTTTAGGATTTCACAGTGTCTCTGGTTTTAACATTGTTGATTACATATTCATGTACCTGCTCTAGGCTTTCTATTAAATAACATCTCAACAATTTTTCAGGCTTTCTTTTAGTTTACTGGTGCCAAATTTGACTTTTTAGCATTTTTAAGAATCCTTTTGAACAATATTGACAGAATTCATTACAGGGTGATTAAACTGTAGAAACGTAATGCTTGACTGAATGTGTTGAATGATGTGTTATTTTCCAAAACATTTAAATTCCTAAAAATCAACCTGAGCCCCATAACCTGACACTGTGAGTGCCAGGTGAAGAAAACACAGATATTGTTCTTGGCATGACATGCTCAACAATTGCATTATTTAACAAGAGCATTTCTGGATCCAGGGAATAACGATCCTGAACCTATGTGTAGCTGTGGAAATGACAGGGGGCTGAGGTTTGGGGGGAAGCCAGAGGTCCTCATCTAGGGGCTGCAGGAGACAGATCTGTATGAATCAAACTTCCACTGCTCAGGGAACAACTGTTTCTCGTTGTTTCCGTTCTTTTGCAGTCCTGTTACTTTTGATGAAGCCTCTGTATGTTGAGTCCTAGACAGTATTTCCCTAAATAACTCAACCTGTCTTTCCAAGGTTACTTTTACATGTAGCTTACAAATAAAAGCAATAGGAACGGCTGACCTGGCTCTTATCCATCTGTTCTTAATAAACTTAGATATTCCTTTAATTCTTTACTGCAGTGTCAGAGGACCCATTAATCGGTGTGCCATTGCTCAACCTGTAATTACTGGGAAGTGTCTGCATATGATATCCCCACCACTGGAGGAAGCTGTGTCATCATCTATTCTCAAAGAGAAGCTTTATTTCACTGCATTCTCTGAATAATTTTTCTTGGGCTGTATCTTCAGCTTTGGTGTCTTTAATTATTATTTTTTCTTTCAAAGTGGTTTTCCCTTTACTAAGTCCAAAGGAAATGTTAGAAGTTGCGTTGGTTTCTGCTTTCTTTAACACCTCGTACACTTTGTCGGTCTTTCTTCTTGCAGACTTTCTGACTGTATTTTGCAGATAGCCCCTTGCATAGAATCATACAATGGTTTGGGTTGGAAGGGACCTTAAAAATCATCTAGTTCCAACCCCCCTGCCAACTTCCACTAGACCAGGTTGTTCAAGCCCCATCCAAACTGGTTTTGAACCCTTCCAGGAGGGGGCAGCCACAACTTCTCTGGGCAACCTGTGCCACTGTCTCACCACCCTCACATTAAAGAGTTTCTTCCTTTAATCTAAACCTACTCTCTTTCAGTTTAAAAAGTTTACCCCTTGTCCTATCACTGCAGTCCTTGATAAAGAGTCCTTCCCCATCTTTCCTGTAGGTTCCCTTTAAGTGTACTGGAAGGCCACTCTAAGGTCTCCCTAGAGCCTTCTCTTCTCCAGGCTGAACAACCCCAACTCTCAGCCTGTTCTC